CTTTGCGAGAAGGACAGAGATTTCGAAAATCCTTTTTCTTTTAAATTTTAGACATTCTAGTTTGACTTATTTTAAGCAAATATATTTGAATTAACGTAGCCGAGAAAAGTAAGAAATTATTAAACTTAGTATCTGGGAACTGTATTTTTTGGATATTGCTAACTTTTTGTCCGATACTGGAGAATCTTTGAGGGTTTATGGTTGTTTTTACGGTGTTCTCTGTGAGTAGAAATAAGAAAAAATGTTTAAAAGTGGATCTGGAAATAATTTCATTAAATATAACAATAATAACAGTTTGTGATCGTTTAGCTTTGGAACACTCTGTAGATGATAAAGTAGGGGTGTAATATGCAAAATTTGCAATACCTCGAAATAAAAAATATGCAACTGAGGCTAATTTTAAAAACACTGAAAGAGTTATTTTTGGTGGACTGAATACTGTTAAAATATTTTCAAAATAATGGAGAACCAGTTTGATTACATTCAGAATTAAATGAAATTTCCTTTTTTGAGAAAATTAAAAGATTATATTTGTGATAAAAGGCATGTTAAAAATTCTATGCGTTTTAATAACACCACCAGAGTTATATTCTTGGTATCTACCTAAAGTAATCATAAGTAAAGTAAGGTGTAGGTACATATTAAAGGAGATGCATTAAACTTCATTTTGTTGATCTTAGATTTAAAATCAATTTACACTAGTCGAAGCAATTAAGGAAGTACTGCTTTTACAGGCAATTAAAGTGTTCTTGGATATCTTGAAAGGATGGATAACATTGTTCGAATAGCAGGAATATCGGGTGTTTAATATAGTAGCTTTCTGGTGCAAGGTGTTGAAATTTTTGTAATGTTGGAGTATCGATTATCTATTGAGTGACAGTTACTCGAGCAAGTGAGTTTTTGATTTTATGGAATTTTTGGTTAACAGAATAGATTTTGTTTCCAGAAATTCATTACCAAAGACAATACTACCAGTTTTCTTCATTCAAACAAAAAAATGATAATAAATATACAAGTAATTCACAAATTTTAAACAAAATCCTTACAAAATGTATACGTTGTATTGAATTCTTCATTGCTCTGAATGAGAATATCTAAAATAATACACCTAGGAAAAGTTGTATGGGCAAGCGGTATGTGCCTGACCATAGACGGTCTATTTCCCCTTGAAAATTAATTTCTCCTTACATTCTGCTTTATCTCGCACTTTAATTGAAGTTAATTGTACTTCACTGTGAATTATTGTAATTGTTAATACATATGTCATTCGAAATATTGTTCCAAGTAAAATATGTTGAATCTATTAATTAATGTATTTTTCAATTAAAAGTGTTCGTTGATTGAATTTTATCAAATGGCAGAAATGAAATTAATTCATCTTGCTCGTTGCAAATTTAATTATATTTTAACGTAAATAATATTCTGAACATTCTAAATAAATATAATTACACAGATTCACTGATTCGCGGAAAACCAATTCACCTTCCCAAATCCTAACAATGTATTATGTTAATTTCAATATAAACCCTCAATGCAATGTGTGAATTGAAAAAAACATATTTGTACCATCGTAGCTAGTAAACAATTCTCTGATATAAATTAAAGAAACTAAATGTTTCAAACGAAGAAATACCGTTTAGTTTACATCGGTCGAAGGAGATTAAATTATTCTATTCCATTGTTTCGACAAAATCAGGCTATCTAAAGCGAAGGAAAAAAAAATACGCAGAAAAAAGGGGAAATATTTTGGCATGAAAATATTTGCCCTGTATCGATGCCGGGAACGGGAAATTTCGAGTGAATCGATCTGCAAAAATACAATCTCCAATCCCGCACGAAAACGTGGAATATTTCAAGAGGCTGTTGCCCATTGAAATGCAAGCAGTGTTAAACTGCATTTGGCACAGGTTGTTTCGGGCCGTCTGGGAAATCCGAGGGTTAGTAACCGCGGCGTTACACACTACGGAAGTGTTTGTTAATACGCGGGAATTGAGTTAACTAGAAAATTGTGGTGTCACCCTATTTCAATTCCGCATATGAATCTTAAATAACGCGTGGACAATAGTAACGTTACACCGAGTAGTTTCTCGTAGGATCATTGTTCCACACTATTTCTTCCTTTTTTATCAGTACTGCGAAAAAAGAAACGAAATTGAATTTTGGGAGAAATAATGGTTTTGCACTCAGTGTCAGCGAAGCGTGAGAATATTCAATAGTATTCTTTCATCATTTTATTTGGTTTTTCTACATTATTTTGTAAGTGAAATTATTTTGAACAATATTACCAAAAATTATTCTGATAGAAGATACTAGTTACAAATAATGTAGTTTCACTTTAACGTAAATTTTGGGCATAAAATATATTGTAACCCTTCGAGGACGATGGACTTATACGTATATGTGTTTAACGATAAATTCGCATAATTTTAAGCAATAAAGACAGTTGCCGTAGAACTCATGTGTGTATATTTGAGGAAAATACAATTTTTATATGACTTAGTTTAAAAAAAAATTGAAGTAGTGATCTAGTTATAGTGTTTACAAGTATTTCGATATGGTACACAATCTTTAAAGGGTTAAATATCAAAGTAGATTTTTTTTTAAAAAGAAGTATGCAACAGTTTTTGTAACATTCTTTTGCGTTACACGCATTTTTTTCGCGCGATATAGGCGCATAATATGTAGGTGGAACTGTTGCGTCAGTGGTACTACTCAATCTTTATCAGTAGGGATTTTCCGAAGTAAAGTGGCAACAATTCCAATGGACGAGAACTTTCAAGTATCATTGGCATTTCCTTTTCATCTCGAGACTTGAATCTAACGCGATTATCGTTTCTCTTTGAGTGACGGAGGGACTGTGAGACAAGTTCCTTCTTGAAAGTTTAAGGAAAGCAAATTTTCGTGGAGGCTGCTTGAAAAATGTCGATGAAAATATTTCATACTTTCCGATCGTTACACGAAGCTCTTTTCGGTTAAATAAATGATCAAAATAAAAAAAGAAAGAAGAAATGAAACATATATTCTTATATGGTTGCATCTTAATCAGTATGCTTGGCTTTGTAGAGTTCATTTAAGTTTTTACTACTTGTACACCACAGACACATAAAACACTTAAAAGGAATTCTTCTGTCATTATTCTTTAAATTCACATTATATGTAATTGTCTTAATTTAATATGCAAGATTTTAACTTCAATTAAATCCAATGTTAAATCGTTATTTAAAGAAGTGTAATAATGTAAAAAAGTAAAAGCATGTTGATGTAAAATACTTTTAAAATTAATGTAAAATATTACATTACTTTGGATATTCTCATTTTATTAAAAATTAAGCTGTGAGGTCATTACTTCTAAGATGCATTAAAATGTGGCACGCAAAAATTCATAAATATTTCACGTGACCCAAATCGCTCTATAATTTGTATCTATTTAGAATCTCCTTTTACCTTCTGTGCGTTAGAATCAACGTGCACCATAAGCTGCATTACAAGCAACGGGATTAAAACTTCTCTTGGAGTAAGATTATTAAGAATATCGATAGAAGATAGGGCGTAATTTAATATTCAATCAAGAAATTTATGTCTTTCATTTACATCTTCCATCAGTTTAATGAGCACAACTTATACCATCAGGAAACTGACTTAAAAAACTAACAATCTCTCAATTACATAACTGTATCTCCAGTATTTAACCAAACCATTTTTGATAATACGCACGGTACGTTTATACTGTATATTACATAAGTGTGTACCAAAATGTTTTTAAACTTTAAACACAAAAAATTCACCGTGATAATCACTAGTTTGTGAGAGTATAATCCAGCATGAACATCGTTCTGAAATCTTACATAATGCTCCTCTACGAACTTTATCTTTGAAGATTTCCAATATAAAAAAGGAAAAAAAGAATAATTCCTTCAATAGTCCTCGACTTTCCCCAAACTTCACGTAAGCTTATCGAAAGAAGAAAAGAAATGAAACGTCGAATGCTGCAGCGGAGAGGCACGGGGAGTCGTCGAAACCGCGTCCCGGTGTTGAGAAATTTTCCAGCGTCGAGCAGAGAGCGGCGGTATCGGGCCCGGTCTCAATCTCTCGACTCGCGAAGAGTCGCGATCAGGACCACGCCCTCGGCAAAGAAGCGACGCCGACGTCGACGCCGACGCCGTGGTCCCCTCCCCTCCAGCGCGACGCTCCCTTTCCCGGCGCGGCGGGTACGCGGCCACGACTAACGTTTCTCTCTCTCTGCTCGCCCCCCACCCCGGGCTCCGGCGCCTCCACCCCCTCACGGGCAGCCTGATGGCCCCAGGATCCTCGTCAGAGCGACTCGACTCATCGTCGACGGTGACTCGTCGCGTGTCGCCCAGTTTCTCACCGACCTCGTGTTCGTCAACGTCGTCGTCGTCGTCGTCGTCGCCGTGGTCGTGGTTGTGTTGCCGCCGCCGTCGTCGTCGTCGTCGTTCACCATCGCCGTCGTCGCCGTCGCCGTCGTTGTGCTGGTGGTGTCTGTTTCGTTCGGTGTGACACGACGTACACTCCGTGAATCGTCTGATATCACCATTCACCGTCTCTTAATCCGCCTCTTGTGTTTGCCTTTTTCGTTCTCGCTGTCAACACACACCCTATCCGCGCGTATATATTCTATACGTGTACACACCGTTTGCCCTTCTCTTATACCGTATCTCTGTCTCGCTCTATCCTTCGTGTATATGCGTCTATCTGTGTAACTGTTGGCTCGCGTGTAGGAGAAGTTACGTGAGAAGTTAGGAGAGATCAAACGGAATCGAGCGAGATTTATTGTGAATCGATGACACCGGCACACCGGCGTGAAGTTGGCGGAAGCTGACCGCCGATACACAAAGTGGACTTGATTTGTTGTTCCGTCCGCCCGGTGTCCAGTCCCTACCGTGTCAGATTGTCCAACGCGGATCTCTGTTTATCTCGATTTCGATCGATCGTTCGTCACGGGATACCGAGAGGTGTCAACTGTCCATTGTTGCCGCGTGTGCACGCCTATACACGCGCGCGTCGCTTTCAGAGAGGCGCGTGGAGAAGCTCCGAGCTGTTTCTGCCGGTCGAGGTGTTCGTTCTCTTGGCGAGCCTGTTCTTCAAGGTATGTACGCGTCATTTCTATTGACTCTGCTGTGTATAAACGTTCTCGGAGATGTTTGTACGGAACGGAGTGGTTTTCGTATTTATATCGTTTAGCGGGAAGGGCAGTTTGACACGTACAGTTCGAGGTGTTGTCGGTGTGGCGCTGCGTATGGATCACCGGTATTTCGATCCGTGTAAATATAATATATTACCGCGAAAGTGTCGGATTTATGTGACACGTTATACATACATGGAGTAATACGTTGGCGTATAATAGCAACGAATATAAATTGCCTGTTGTAACTCAGAAAGTTCGGACCAGATTGTTTTCACTATTTCGCGGGTGAGTCTAATGTTCCAAACTCGATTCGTGCGATCGATATTTTGATACACTTCGATACCTAACCTAAGTACTTCACCGTTTCAGTGAGTTAACAAGTTTGTGTTATACGTAATGCCATAGTAGTGTTACTTTTGAATTTATATTTATTATTTCTATTGTGACAATTACTCTATACTGTTTGCCACTGTTTGTCACTGTTTTGCCTATTCCGTTACCAACATGTGGTACATCGCTATTATTATTACTGTTATCACCACTGCTGCGTGGCGTTGTCAAAGTAAACTGGCCACGCGTACATCGCCGCCAAAATAGCTCGAGGATGTTTGAATCTTTTGATTTATATCGCTATCAAAATAAGGCGCGAGTGTGGCCAGAATTCCGGAAGCGCGAAAACATTGTCGATCGTAAATTCCCAGTGTAGCATCATGATTGGAATGGTCGGATTGTAAGTGGTGTACAGTCACGGTTTTTCTCGTTTCGAATTGCGACGCTAACGTTTGAACACGCTGTACGGCGTAGCTCGTGGCAGGCGTTCTAAAATAAAAATCTTCATTGTTACGACCGGTTAGTCGACGTTTATTTCTGCATCGATATTATTTGCCAATACGTTCATTGCGATTTCGAGTGTCCATTAAGAAACCGGATGTGTATGTGACGAATATCACATGGATCGTTTGGTCAGTCAATGTGTGCGAACGCGGATGTTGTGTAAACTTGGCCCTATACCGGGTGGCCCGTTAGAAACGGATTGAAGTTGAAATACCATTATTTTAACAAATTTCTCCGATAATGATTTTGTATTTTAATTTCTTTCGCTGATTATTAGTTCTGAGTCACGTTTAAGTAGATCTTTTCATTTATCCTGTAGAATTACGATGTAGAATTAATTATAATTCTTATCCTATTTTCATTTTTATTTCTACTCTATTTTACTTCAGATATTCATTAAAGTCGCTTCTCTATGTAATTTTCGGCGTAGCCTCCAAGTGTGGAGTTGACGTTTGAAGGAATTGAATTTCGTGTTTTGAAACGAGCTTCTTTCAAAACTTGCTTGCATGTAACTCGCTGACATGAATTTTTTAACAAGTCGAGAAACCTTTTCAGTTTGACAGAGAGTGACGTTCATGAATGATTCATTTTTCAAAATAATTCTAAACGTGCCTGTTTCGAGGAACCGAGGTTCAGAAAATTTTTTAAATTCTTTCAAAATTCTCCATTTAAATTCTTCATTTTACAATATTCAAAATGTCCTATATTAATTACAATTAATTACTCTAGCATGATGTACATATGGATAATAATAGGTGCGTATAAAGATAGTCTTCGTGAATTCTCTTTCGCGATATTCGACGGTTCAGACACGTATCGAACATCGATATTACGTAGTTGTGGTTTGAAGAAGCTGTCCAATTAGTGATGTAACGTTTCATGCGAAAAATGCATCATTATGGGCCCGCGTGCATTTCGATGACTATCTTCGTTCAATCCTCATCATTCTCTGTCCCAGATTACTCCTCGAGAAATTTTGGCGTTGAAGCGCGTCTAATTCCCGCCTCAATCGTCATTTGGATCTCTTTCGCGTTAATAGAGCACAAGTATGCCAGGGTACACGTGCTTTTTTATTTCCTCATTGCTGGAGACGCAATACTTTTACCTCCGTAATTTCAAGCTTTTGGCTTTTACAGTTACAACTATATCATTGGAGAAACGAATTATTTCTTAAGATAATTGCAATTAAAAGTACCGAGAATTTTATGGACAATTATTTTCTATCAGTATATCATCGATTTGACGAGTAATTTTTTCACTTAGGGAAGCAGAAATATATTTCGATGTGATTTGAAAATGTACCTAATAGTTTTCGGTAGACTGCGGATGTTCATGTTAATACGTATTTCTGTAGAAAATTGGTAATAAAGTAAGACCTGAATAGAAATTTGTTTTGAGGGTTTTAGCCATATATATATTTTATTTTGTATATTTCATATGTTTTGCATTTTTTGCTTTAAGAACATGTGCAAAAGTATGTTGCGTATTCATATAAATTTTCGTTCATAAGTATTAGGACACTTATTGAATGTGAACTAAACATTCGTTACAAAGTTATTAAGATCCAAAAAAGATAAATGATTCAGTTTGGAATTTTGTAGTATAAGGAGTACCTACATATACCGTATTTTTCGGACCATAAGACGCACCTTTTTACATAGAAAGTTAGTCTTATTGTCCGAAGGTAACATTAAAATACGAATCTTTATGCTGTATCGAAGCTATTAGAGAAGTGACATTAACGAGAGAGTGATAGTATCGAGAGTGGAGGTGAACTGAATATTGCTAGTACGAATGATTTTAACGATAAATAAATTAAGTAAGAATTTGAAAATATCTTTATATACCTAATAAAATATTCTTCTCTAAAAATCGTCCCATAAATTTGGGGTGCGTCTTATGGTCCGACAAATACGGTAATTTACTGATGTATAGATAGCTTAATACTATGTATCACTAGATAATTCATACTTCATTCCTACCTCTATTCATAAGTTCCGAAAAAAAGGCAATAATTAAATTTTTCTCTTTTTCGTTGCACTTTTTCCCATAATTTTCGTAAATATACATTTTCTGGATACGTATGTCAGAAGTCGTATGTTTCTTACAATTGTGGTATTCTAAAAGTGGACAACTCTAACAGTAGTTGGAAATATTTAAAATAGACAAGTTTAAAGTCAATTTTATTTTCAATGCTAATAGTAGTTGTTCTACTAATGAGTCTAAGTCGTCTAGGTGTAGTATTAAGGTGATGATATAATTTTGGCGAAGAAATTTAGATCTATAGGCTTTCTGTGCGAACATTATAGGTGTCCTAATCCTTATTTTATACAATACAAAAATGTGAAAAATGTTGAAAAAATGTTTACACTTTATTATAATTTCAATTTTATTCGTAATGTCTAAATAATAAAGGGTCCAATATAATAGCATATTTTCAAAATACTTAATGCATATCATATTTTATTTGCATATTTCGACACATTTTAAGTGTATAAACATCCGCAGTTTAGTTATCAGTAATTGCTTCAAGAAGTTTCACCGTTTTTCAATGTAATTTACCTGTGTGAAATTTTAATTAAAAACTTACGACCATATGTCCGCTTGAGCCACATAGAGTACAAAAATTTTCATTAATTATTTCACAAAGGAGGAAAGGTTGACGTGTGCACACGTTATCTTTACTTTTAAGTAACGAACTCGCATCTGTGCTCATTGTTCACGACTTCCGGTCGAGTTCTCTTCGCAGTAAAACGGTGAAATTTGAATAATGGACGATTTGCGCTACCGGCAATTATACCTGTGGATTTGTCGGTTAACCTGCCCGGCTATTAAGTCGCGAAACATGCACGTCCGGGCAGTGGTTCCAACCTAACACGCGAAAATATCCATTAGTTACCCCTATAAATTGTTCGAAGACCTAATCAAACATAGGTTGTTTGGTAATTTATGGGCGAGACGTTAAGAAATGTCGAAAATTTATCGGACAATTTCTATCCAATCTATTACTACCGTCATCGTCTTTACGTTATTTATTTAACAAATTTATCGGTCATGAGGAATTAACACAATTTTCGATAAGGAGTCGAGTTCCTCCTTGTTCTCCCGATCCTTCATTTTCGTAGTAGAAACTTCTTAGAAGCTTCATTTTTTTCGAAGCTTTCTCTGGGTAGTTTTTCTAAAATCGAAAGATCATTTCAAGGGGTCATGAACGTTTCTCGACACTGAAAATTAGTCAATGTTTGTGAGTGATCGGAGGACAAAATATTAGGCCGATTGGTTTAATTCTCTTTTTATTATAAGAATACATGTTCGTAGAGTAAGAAACAGTAATGAAAAATTCAGTGTTATTAGAAATATGACGTCTGCGTGTAATGACGTAAAACGGTTCGCCCTAAACCAGCGACGGCGAACCTTTTGAGCTCGGTTTGTCAAAATTGGGAAAAAACCTAGATTAACGTCTAGAAATATCCATAATTGTTGCGAGCGTTACGACCTTGCAATTAACGATTCTGAACCTCGTTGATAGAAGATAGACACCGTTGTTCTTCGTTCCTGTTTGTGTGATGATTATTTCTGATCCGCTCGGTTTCGGCTGTGAGGTGACTTAAGTCGATGCGTGTCACCTTTGACACGCGTGTCATAGGTCCGCCATCATAGCCCTAAACGGTGGGCATGATTCAGTTTGTACGAGTGATCAGAGACAAAAATTTTCGCTTTCTTAACACTTTTTGGGATCGTAGTTCTCGGTTCGCGAGGGGTTTTCTTTTAGAAAAAAAAATTGCAGCAATGGAAGATTGTGATTTTCATTTAAAAGGCCGTACATTTTGTTTTGTTTGCGAAAATGATTCACTTTATTTAAAAAGGTCCTTGTGAGTCGATGACGAATCTTATTTAGAATATGTGCGTAAGATGGAGTTAATCAGATGAGCGGTGAGGCAGTTATCATGCCTACCGTCTTGAAAAATGCTGTTTCGAGGAAAGTGTTTCGTTCGAACGGCTGTAACTTTGTCAGTAATTCGAATTTCGAGTTCTCGTTTGGTTTAAAACATTCCTACGATATGTACCTTCCAAAATATACAAAAATCGACCTTTTGAAATCGAAAAACTTATACGAGCTCTTAACG